TATATATATATATATATATATATATATATATAACTGAGCGCGAAGACAGGGAGAGCGACAACACCCGTTCTTTCTTTTTTTCTCTTTCTCTCTAATTCCTCTCTTTATTTAAAACCTTCTAGACTGAGGCATATTCTGTATTACTCTAGGAGATGTTATCCCTCTACCCATACCCCCAGGTGGGGGGCCCCCCATAGGGGGCCCCCCACCCATTACGGGGGCCCCCCCCATCTGGGGGCCCCCCATTTGGGGGCCCCCCCTTGGGGGGCCACCCATCCCTGGGGGCCCCATCATAGGCATTGGGGAGGGGCCCCCCCAGTACCCTAAATCCGCTACACCTGCAGCAGGCTGCCCTGTTTGAGGGTTAATATTTGCTGTTAATAAATCTTCATCTCGTGGAGGTCTTTCTTTAACACCTGAAAGAGAGAAAGAAAAAGAAAGAAAGAAAAAAAAGAGAAGAAGAATAGAGGGGGGAGGGGGTTATATGTATATATCTATATATATATATATATATATTATCTATATATTTATATACTATATGCATATCTATACACGTAACGTACACTAGCACTAGCATATAACATGAAACATTACACACATATATATATATCTAAATGTATTATTATAATAATATTATTATTATTATTATATGATTGCCTTATTATTATAATATAACAATAATAACATTATAACAATCCAATTATAACATTATAATAATACTATTATTATTATATTTTTATTTAAACTTAAACCTGAGTAATATTATAATAGTATTCGTTTAGCTTACAAAGTAATATTGTACAGCCAACAACAACAACAGCAGCAAAGACGCCGACAATAACATATAAAATAATTAAAGAAGTGTTGCTCTCAGATATTTTTATTTCTTCATTCGTAGAAGCCCCAAAGGTAGTTGCATCCTCTGCATCAATAAACAAATAAACAAATAATAAATAAACAAATAATAAATAAACAAATAATAAATAAACAAATTAATTAGTTTAAAAAGATATATAAATAAATAAATTAATGCATTAATACACTGATTATTTCATTCATTGATTAATAATGCTGTAATTGATATATATATATATGCATAGATATGTATATATATATATAGATAAATAAATAAATATATATATAGATAAATAAATAAGTATACATATATATATATATGCATATATATATTTCAATTATTAATTAGACATTTGCGTTATTTAGCTATTTTGTTTTATGCAGCCTTTGTTATTACTTATTATTATTATTATTTATTACTATTATTATTATTATTTATTATTATTATTATTACGCATAATATTTTTTTATTATTTACTACTTTAATAATTACTATTGTTATATAAATATATATATATATATTTATACAGACATTTTTATTAATTATTAGCAATTCTACAATTATTTACTGTTAATATAATTCCTTATGACTTCACATCTAAAGATATGACATATATGAAAGTTTATTATTAATAATAATAATTATGTGTTAGTATACATTTACAAACATAAACATATATATATATATATGTATATATATACACATATATATATATACATATATATATATATATACATATATATGTATATCTGTATGTATACAGTTTATTTTGAATAATAATTATTATCTGCTATTATATATTTATAAGTATACATATAAATACAAATATATATATATATATATATATATATATCTATATATATTATATATTAAATATTTATTTAATGATAATAATAATAAATTATATGTTGTTGTTTATTCACCTATTTGGCACGTAGTTTTCTTTGAAGCGTTTTCTTTAGCAAAGACGCCTTTGCAAGTACACCGCACATTATTAGCTACACTTTCATCGCAAGTAGAATATAGAGGACATGCATTAGATTGATTGAATGCCTCACAAGTACAAGGAGAAGAAACAGAAGGATCTGTACAAGGAAGTCTATCAATCATACTCTCTGCTTTGCATGCAGCCCCGTTATTCTTGCCCGCTATGCATGCTCTTTTACGACAACTATAATTTACAGGTGTTACACAAGATAAACGACAAGAGCTTATTGAACTCCACTCAGTATACACCGCATCAACATCTTCTTTAATTTGAGCATGTACTTTTAACACAGGGCCTGTATCCCCTGTAGGTGTATCAAATGCAGAGAGACATTTGTTATGCTTCTCTCGGACTAATATATGCAAATTGTCTCCTGCGAGATGTTTATTATAGACCAAATTACTTATATCTATCTCATACACCCCGAGAGAATACTCAATTCTTTGTTCTACTTTATCTCCCGTCTCACTTGAAGCATTTCGACCTTGCAAATACTTTTCATCTGATAATCTAATCAATTCTAATATATGTTCATCGCACTCCCAATCATGCAGAGATCCATCCCAAGTCTTTGTCAATATTAGAAGTGCCTTGCTGCTGCTGCTGCTGCTGCTGCTGCTGCTGCTGCTGTCGCTGCTGCTGCTACTGCTGTCGCTGCTGCTGCTGTTTGTTGTTGTTGTGTTTTCATTTTCTGCTAAGTTGGAGGGTAGTTTAAAACTTAATATAAACTGTCTCTCTCTTCCAGGTGTATCTGTAGTTTGATAAGCCTTTAAAGTCTCCTGTACATACACCTGATCGTTTACATGCTCTGCCCACTGATACGGTTTTAATTCAACTGTCTCCTTCGGGTTTTTTATATTTGCAGGAACATCTTCTTCTTTTATTAAACAATCATCATTCTCTTCTAAATTCAGGGCAGGCCCATTACCAATCTGCAGCAGCATGCCCAAAGGCTGCTGCTGCTGCTGCAGCAGCTGCTGGTGCTGCAGCTGCTGCTGCTGGTGCTGCTGCTGGTGCTGCTGCGGGGGTAGATGAGATGCAGCAGAAGTGCTGCTGTGAAGAGAAGCGGAGGAAAGCAGCGTGGACGGGGAGCGCCTGTTAATACAGACGACTGATGAAAAGCTGTTAGCTAGCAGCAGCAAACAAAACAAGAAAATAAAGAGAGAGTTCTTCCGTCTTAATGAGATATAATCAAACAAAGATAAAAAAGAAGAAGGAGACAAACCAACAAAGCCACTGCGAGCAAAAGAGAGATGAAAATTATCTTTACAAGAAGAACAATCATTCCTCTTCGCTTTACAACGCTTCACGTCATCCGCACTGCTGCTGCTGCTGCTGCTGCTGTTGCTGCTGTTGCTGCTGTTGCTGCTGGTTCCGCTGCCGGAAGTGCTGATTCTACTGCAGCTGCTGCTGTCACTCGTCGAGCTGCAGCTGCTGCTGCTGCTGGCGCTGCTGCTGCTGCTGCTCCATTTCCTGTATGCTGTCTCTCCTCCCCCGAATACACAATTGCCGCTGTTGGCTGTTGCAGAAGGAGAAAGACAAATAGCAGAAGAAAAGGAACGCAGCAACTGAATTCTTTCAGAAGAAGAAAATAACGCTTTCCTGTGTTCCTCTGTGCGATGAGACATCATCGTATAGAGAGGGCGCCTTGACGATGCCTGCGCTGTCTGGAGATGAAAAATTGAAAAATTCGCTCTTAAATTCAATGAATAAAGAAGGAAGACAGCTGGAAGCGATGGGGAAAAGACAGGAAAACGGGAGAAAAACAAAAATACATCGACGGGAGAACGCGAGACAGGGTCTGATCGATGCCTAAGGGAAGAAGGAAGAAATCTGTTAACAAGACGAGAACAAGAAAGTGAAATGATTTATAAATTGGTACAAATAACCCTTTATCTCATTCAAGGGCTGGAAAGGAAACTGTTGCAAAGAAAGGAGAGAAACTTGAATACGCATGCTGGGTGGCTCGCAGGGTTCTGATGAATCTGCGGCCTTAATTCCCTTCAATAGGAGAAGAACTTCTTATTTTTGACAAATTGAACTCCTAAAAATGATGTTAAATAAGAGAAAACTTCTGCTTTCCACTCCGTGTAATGCAGAAAAGCTGAGCATACACCTCAGATAGGCGTCGAGTCTGTCGTGCAAAGATCAGTGGTAACTCATGGTTTTTATCCGGGAATTTCTCTCAATTGTTTGAATTTAGAAATATATATTTATAAAAAATATAATTAACCAAAAGATTCACTAAAAAGCACTATTTTCTCGCGACTTTCCCACTTCTCGTCGCCAGACACCGACGGCTAGCCAGGGCACTCTCGACAATGTAAGCGCTTAAAACCCCGAACCTTTTGCAGAAAAAAAGCATTATTCAGATATTTCAAAGTATATATTTGGTTTTCACCTCATCTGAGCTGAAATACATGAAAAATTCATCTTCCCTCTACACCCGACAACAGGGGAGGGGGCCTCTCTGCGTGCATCGACGACAACAGCGCCAATTTGAATATGCTTTTTTCCCTTTATTTCCTTAAAGTGAGTACACCCTAGCGCTAAATAAAGCAATTTAATGCATTATTGAGTGACTGCCTTGAAGCAGAACTACAGAACTACGAGAACAGACCCCCCTCTCTCCTGGTGATGGAAGCCTGCAGTATTGCTGCTTATTATTTACAGGGAGATCTTCAGTGAGACAACATTTGTATAAACCATTGAAGTGTTTCAAACGAAAATGTTCAGCAGAAGCCATCAGCCGTAGTTGCATCAAATCAATGCAGCTGTACGTACACCCCGGAACGCGAAACCCTAGAAAAAGCGGAGCCAGTACAGAGCTAAGCTCAAGGCCGCATGTGATGATCTGCTGCAGCAACAGCAGCAGCCGTTGCCGTTGCTTCTGCTGCTGCTGCAACAGCAGCAGCCGCTGCTGCTGTTGCTGCTGCTTCTGCTATGTGAAAACGTATAAAATGAAACGCCTGGTCGATATGATTGTTTCAGTAGCCCCGCTTCCGCTGAGCAGGAGGTCCCACGTCGGTGTCCCCTTCATGCTGCTGCAGCTGCTGCAACAAACGCTGCCGCTGCTGCTGCTGCTGCTGAGTCAGGTGCTGCTGCTGCTGCTGCTACTGCTGCACCAGATTTTGCTCAACAGAAGGTGCTGTTGCTGCAACAGACGCTGCTACTGCCGTTGCAATAGTTACTGCTGCTGTTGCTGCAGAAGACGCTGCATTTGCTGCTGCAATAGATGCTGCTGCTGCGGCGGCTGCAACAGTTGCTGCAGCTGCTACTGCAGCAGGAGTTTCCGCTGCTGCTGCTGCTGCTGCTGCTGCTGCAGTAGTTGTTTTTGCTGCTGCAGTAGATGCTGCCTCCGCCGCTGCCCCTCCTCTATGCTGTTGTTGCTCCAACCGCTGCTGCCGCTGCTGCTGCTGCTGCTGCAGCAGCAGCAGCAGCGGTGGAGTGTTGCTAGGTTGCTGGTACAGCATCATCAAGCAGCAAAGACGTACGGATTTGTTTAGAAGTTCTGAGGGTTTTTTTAGGGTTTCCCCGCCAGGAGTGCGTATTGCGTGCATGCAAAGACAAAGAAGGATGAGGAGATGGCTGGTGCAGCAGAGCAGCAGCAGAAGCAACAGATACACTTGAGTCGCTTTCACCTTCTTCACCTCTGCCTGCCCCGTACAATACAACAGCTACTTCTTCAAGATACATTAAATAGGGCAGTACATATTTGCAAAACAAACGGCGCCGGTTTATCTCAAACATCCTGCACACACAAACCCTAAACCCTAAACCCTAAACCCTAAACCCTAAACCCTAAACCCTCGATAATAGACTAGAGGAAACAAACAAATACAATTGGGTGCCGCACACCGGAATATTAAAAGACACACACCCCTAAACCCTAAACCCTAAAGTATAAACAGAAACCACAAACCCTAACTCCTTATAAACCCTTTAAAAACCCTCATAAACCCTCATCCAGCCTAATAAACCCTTATAAACCCTTATAAACCCTTATAAACCCTTATAAACCCTTATAAACCCTAAACCCTCGAGTGTTTAAAAGCGTTAGAAAGTCTAACCTTATATAGAAAGCCCTTGAAGTGAAAGCAATGAAGAGGAAAGAGACGAAGATAGTTAAGAAAGTAGTTAACGTTCTTTGTTCATTCGCAAGAAGAAAAAAGAACGAGAATAAGAGAGATATAAGACAGATAATGCATGCAAGGATATATGTCGGCTCGCGAACAACTAGAAATACTGTTATCTGCAGCAAAGCAACTAACATAGGACCTCCAAACTTCGCAGCTAAAAACGGACAAACTGACGATACACCTGGAAGCAGAAACAAATGCAATGTTTGATCTAACAGAGGGAAGAACAGCCTGAAAAACAAACAAACGCAACAAATATATTTATCCATTGTCTACTCTATTTGTTTATCTACACTCTCCTACACATCACACACGCTACCTGGCTAGCTAGCTAGCTAGCTAGCTAGCCAGGTAGCTGTACGTTGCTAGCTAGCTAGCTAGCTAGCTAGCTGTTCATAGAACTATCTGCCCTAAACCCTAAACCCCATCGAAATCCTAAACCCTAGACCCTAAAATCCATCAAAACCCTAAACCCTAAACCCTAAACCCTAAACCCTAAACCGTAGAGCGTATACGTACTGTAGTGCTGAGGCGAGTAGTAAGAGTCTGTTGAGTTTATATCCTTCTCCGAGAGCAAACTGAGAAGTATCGATGAAGCAGCAATACCACCTGCCTTTAAAGCAGCGAGGGAACCAGAGAGGAGACAGAACGAAGAATGACATCAAAGGCTGCAGCAATAATCGAGCAATTACAACTGCAAGTACACCCGAAACGCCTAATGGAGACTCCTGCATGCACAAGCACATCAGACATATATATATATATATATATAGTTATTTGTTTATTTGTTTGCTTATTTATATTTATATATATTCATATGTGGATTATATATGTGATACACACTGCAGACATACTATGTCATCATTATATAATATATATATTATTTAGCATATTATAGTATGCATCCTATTACAACAAATAATATATATATATATATGTATATATATAATATATAATATACATACTATGGAGGATCGACTGACTCGTAGCTGTTGATATTTAATATATATATATATATATACATATATATATGCATTATATATATATACATTATATATATATATATACAGATATATATATATATATATATACATAATACATTACATATATGAACAATACATTACATAAAACAACATCTAAAAATAAAAATATACATATATACAAATGTTTACATATACATATATAAATATAAATAAATAAATATATATATATAAATATATTTATATATATATATTTATATATATTTAGCTAGACTAACCTGTAGCTGTTGCATATTGAGGTCTTTATTCTGAAGGAAGCCTCTGAGTTTAGCTGCTGCATGCATGATGGTGCCGTACAAGATAGAAAGACAAAGAGACGAGAAGATCCGCATATAATATTTAGAATTAAAAGATATAAGCCACTGTACATACCATGTCTCGATCTTCTCATCAATAAACAACCCTAAGTCACCTCTCCTCGGCATGCTCATAGGCGCCCCTCTCCATGTTGCTTTCTGCATTATCTTTCTACGTTTTCTACAGTTATCAAGAAGTAGATCAATAAAAGAAACAACTCTTGATAGCCACCACGGCATACGCTCATGTGCTTTAGGCGCAAAGTGATATCGAAGCACCCGCTCTTCTTGCTGCTCTTCACCCAAATCCTGTTGCTGTTGCTGCTGTTGCTGCTGCTGCTGCTGCTGCTGTGCATGCTGCTGCGGATTATGATGAGGCTGCTCTTGCTGCTGCTGAGAATGCTGCTTCGGTTGCTGCTGCTGCTGAAGAGATATGTGAGAATGCTGCTGCTGCTGCTGCTGCGAGCGAGACAGGCTGCGCTCTCGAGGTCGTGATAAAATCCTCTCAACATCTCCACCCCATCCTCCTGCTGCTGCTGCTGCTGTTGCTGCTGCTGCTGCTGGGGGAGGGGCTCCTCCGCCTTGCGCGGACTGCTGCTGTCTCCCAGGTTGCTGCTGCAGCTGCTGCTGCATGTTGCTGTCTGCAGAAAACGGCAGCTGCGAGCTGTGAGACGCAGCAACACAAACCATACGGCCTGCTGCTGCTGCTGCTCCTGCTGTTGCTGCTGCTGATGCTGCTGCTGCTGCTGCTGCTGCTGGTTGTTCCCTGGAGACTGCCCCTGAGCTGCTACAGCCGCTGCTGCTGCTGCTGCTGCTGCTGCTGCTGCTGCTGCTGCTGCTGCTGCTTGTGCTGCTGGTGGCGTGTCTGTCTTCCATTTCCATTGTACATACACTGTAGCAAGAAGCGGAGTTCCTTATGCTGCTGCTGCTGCTGCTGCTGCTGCTGCTGCTGCTGCTGCTGCTGCTGCTGCTGCTGCTGCCTGAGCTTTCTTCTGGGGTATGTGGGGCGTCTCTTAATAGAGAATGGCTTCGTCTGCTGTTTGCATGCAACAGCGCATGCAATCGCGATGAAACCCCTCGAACACCTCGGCGCAGCAGCCCGCTGCTGCTGCTGCTGCTGCAGTAGCTGCTGCTGCTGCATCCGGTGTTACAATAGCTGCTGCTACTGCTGCAGTAGCTGCTGCTGCTGTTGGTGTTATCTTCATCGCTGCTGCTGCTGCTGAGAAGGGAGGCTAATTCATTGCTGCTGCTGCTGCTGCTGCTGTCTTCATTGAGCTCTACAGGTTCTAGTGTAGCTACGGTGAGTGTCTCTCTTCTTCTTCTTCTGTCTCTCTTCGTCGCTCTCTTCCTAACATATAAACCAGCAGCACAGCGATGAATATCAACGCATGCACTGCAGCAGCCGCTTCTGCTGCTGCTGCTGCTGCTGCTCTTGCTCTTGCTGCTTGCAGCAGGTGCTGTTGCATCCTGCTGCTGTTGCGGCTGCTGTTCCTCTTCCTGCTGCTGCTGCTGCTGCTGCTGCTGCTGCTGCTGGAGAGGGTAGGCAAATGGCTGCAGCTGCAGATTGACGCTGATTGCGCATACATCACAAATGCCGTCACAGCAGCAGGAAGCGTTGGTTTGCTGCTGCGCTGCTGCTGCTGCTGCTGTTGCTGCTGCTGTTGCTGCTGTTGCGCCTTCACTCCCACTGACGCTCCTAGCGGCCCGTCGAGTCGCTCGGAGGAAAGCAGCAAAGAAAGGCAATGCATGCAAGTGCAGCTGCTGCAGCTGCTGCTGCTGCTGCTGCTGCTGACCTTCGTATGCAGCTGAGGGCTTAGCTAAGGCCGGCACCCCCACACATACACTCTTGCAATCTGCTGCTGCTGCTGCTGCTGCTGCTGCTTTGCTGTGGCATCGACAATCACAACGATAAGACCTCGGCCACCGCTTTCGTTGCATGGGGCTGCTGCTGCTCCTGCTGCTGCTGCTGCTGCTGTCGCTCTCGCCACAAGAACTGCTGCTGTAGCTGCTTGACCCCAGAAAGCTGTCTCTGCTGCTGATGCTGCTGCTGCTGCTGCTCCTGTTGCCCCTAGGGCGGTAGATAGCACGCCACCTCGCTTTGCTGCTGCTGCTGCTGCCGCTACTGCCGCTGCTGCTGCTGCTGCAGCTGCTGCTGCGGCTGCTGTTGCTGCAGTGGGTGGTGGTGCCTCTGAGTTGGCGTTTACGCTCGGCTCGCGTTGCTGCTGCTGCTGCTGCTGCTGCTGCTTGCTGCTGACTCCTCGTAATCCTTCTATGATACTGCAGCTGCTGGAAGAACCAACGGCGGTGGAACTCCACTGCGCTCTTCAAGCAAGCCTGCTGCTGTTGCTGCTGCTGCTGCTGCAGCTGTTGCAGCAGCAGCTGCGGTTTGTGTCTGGGCGAGGCAACAGGAGTATATGACGACGTTGCGAAGCTTCCAAAGGCGCTAGCTAGTGAACCTCGCTGCTGCTGCTGCTGCTGCTGCTGCTGCTGCTGCTGTACAGCGTCGCTGCTGCTGGGAGAGACAGCACTTGCTATGCTTCCCTGAGAGCCCCGATGCGAAGGAAGAGCAGCAGCTGCTGCTGGCCGTACAGACGGCTGCTCTCTGTCTCTGCGGCTG